TAACCATGGAAGAGCTCTGCCTACATTCATTGGTATTTCTCGTTATAATCTCTTCCTTTATTTCTTCCTAACCTTTTACTTAAAAAGGACAAGACAAGTCGTACATTCACAATTCCTAACTTGGATTAGATGTATGACTATAGTCTTATAGACTCCGGGCCTGGAAGAACGGTGGTTTACATAGGAAGTGTAGACTCGTAAAATTTTCACCTTTTATGAGTCTGCTTGTACTAAAATCTGCGGGACCACTTGATTTTCTTTGATTTAGCCGGGTTTTCGGTTTAGAGAGGTAATTGCTCAAATAGAAGAAGAAAAAAATTGTGGATTTTATCATTTTTCAGCTAACCACTGTTTTTGGATGAACTATGTTTAGACTGCACAGTAGCATGCATAGCTACATTAAAAATCCCTTATTCTATGCAGAATGTCAAAGGAGAAGTGTTTGAAATTGACGAGCAAATGTTGGAATTCCTCGACAAGTTTGAAGTTCACCCGACGTTGTATCGCAGACAGCTGGCAGCCGTGAATGTCACACATGGTGCAAGCAAAGAGGAACTGAGTGAGCTCTACACGCTGGACTGCTGGGTTTATTTCCAGCATGAGTACACGCCAGAGATGCTGAGCTTGCCACACGTGGAGGACTACAACAGCTGCTCTGAAGGTCAGACTCCGTATACACGGCGGAAAGATCGCACTGGTGCTATAGATAAATTCCATATTCCTGTGTAATGATTGAATTTGTCTTATTTAAAGCATGAATTATATAATTAAAACTCTCTTGCCAGGGCTCTATATTATCATATATATCATAGAGAGCGACCTCTCTAAATAAAAAACCCGGCTAAACAGAAAAAAATCCAGCGGTTCTTCCAGATTTGGGTGTAATTGTGGTCTGCACTGTAATATCTTTGTATTTGAAACATGTGCGTAGCAAAATTGTACATTTATGAAAAGATTTCCACGCCCTGCCAATTTCACCATGTGCGTGCTAGATGTATGATGTTTATTTAAAACCCTTGATCACAATTTTACCAAGGGTAGGAATCTCAACAAATTCTGATCTAAACCCCATGCACAGAAAGAGTTAAGATGATAATGGAGATGAAACAGCTTTGGGAAAAATCAATTGCTTATCCACAAGCCTCCTGATCTACAGGTTTTTCGAATCTGCAGTCATGCCAGTTTTACTGTTGTTTGTGTTCTTTTCAGGTTTTATTTCAGCCTTATGATGCTAGGTTGTGTTAAATTGTATTTAAAAAACGCAAGGGGGGAAATGGAAAGTGTCCATTTGTAAAGGTGGCTGTTTTATACAGCTCTAGCTGTTATGGCAGGTTCGACTGTAATTTAGCCTTCCTTAGTTCTGTGGCTGTGAATGTATTGTTTTTGCTGTTTTGCACACTGCCAATTTTTCTCCCCCTTTATACCCTTGGAACACATGCAACTGCTATAATATATAGTAGTAGAATTACTTGTCAATATTTTCTGGTTCTTTTATGTTTTGTTAAAATGGGCTGTCTGAGTATTGGTGTGGAGGCCTTGCATGTGTATAATTTATACATAATATGTATGTTTTTTGCAAATACTTTCGGATCTACGGTACGATAAAAACAAAATTAAAAATATGTGTCTATTTCAATGCAAAGAGTCTAATTATACTGTGATATATGCAGTTTGAACAAGTGCCTTATGAATGAATGAATGATTTAATGGGCATAGTGTTTCTTTTCATTCTTCACTTTTCATTAAAAATATTGAAGAATATTGTTATCTAGTTCTTAAATTTTTGGTTATGTTCTTTACTTTGGTTTTTTTTTTTTGGTGTGTGTTGTGAGTTTTATTATTTTAAAAAAATCGTTTTTTTTTCTTTTGGAGGGGGGGAGGGGTATGAATCATGAGATACTTTACAATTGTTTGAACTTCTTGTAGAAAAATTTGTCTTAATTCAAAATAACAACATAAACCAGTCAATGGGAGGGTAGTGAATATAAGTTCAGCAAGCAATGCTTGCCCCATATTTTTTTTGTCTGTTGGAACATCCTTTTCTATTTTTTTTTCATCAAAGATACTTTAACGACAAAGTAAGAAAGAATCCACCAAATTATTCTGAAAAGCAAATGCGGCTAATTAAAATTCTGCTCTCAGCAGTTGTTCGGGTCTACCACCTACAGCGGCGGGCAACTACGGAAGGAATTCCTGCTTTTTTTCATTGAAACTCTCTCACCAGTATACTACATGTAGTGCTTCTTACTTCATGTTTCCTTTGGTCAAGCAGGCATGGTGGGTGGAAGGTGGTCTCTTTAAAAATATGTTGGTACATCAAACTAGTCATAGGCAAGACGACTGGCATCTGTTGCGTAGTGGTTAGGTTCTTCACTGTCGCACACAGGACACCCGAGTTTGTTTCCCGAGTTGGGAGAAAATTGTTATCACGTATTTCAGTGTTTCTGTTGGGCTGTTGTATTCCTCTCAGCCCAGATTGACCCTGACAGGCAGATTCAGAGGCCCGCCTCCTAAATGATCTAAATTGTGTTGATGGGAGCGTAAAAACTCAATTCAAAAAGATGTTTAATTCTCTTTTTTCACAGGCAAGAATACTATGGTTCACTAACCCCTGACTCTGAGTGCAGAAAATTTGCTTTTGTCTAGTTGACAAATTGATTTGTAATATAAGGCTAATCCTCTATGTATTGAAACTTTCTTCCACCCACCATGATTAATAATGTGTTTAATTTCCTGTCCCCTGTTTTTCCATTACTCATGAACTAAATCTATGCTTTGCCGTAAATTGTAGCCTCAGCTTTTGTTCAGAATGTCAGGAAATGAGCATATGTTGGTGTAGGTAAATATCTCAATGGCAGTTCTTCACAATCGCATAATCCGTAGAAGAAAGTTATAATTATTATTATTCAGACTGTTGTACTATTTTTGAGTCTACCTTGTGGATTAACCTTTTATATAGGCCGTAGCAGTAGGTCAGGTGCAGTGATATATTATATATATATACCCTTACTTCCATACTATTTATCTTGTATTTTATTAGTGTACTTCTTCCCTGCGTTGTGCATGGGTTTTTGCTTGCTCCTATACCCCGACTGTGGGATACACCTCAAGGAATAGTTTGTTGTCCTATATATGAATGTTCTAGCATATGTTTTGTTTCTTTTGTTTTATTCAGTACTAATACTAATAAAAGAGTTTTACAACATTCCTGAAGAAATTCTTTGGATGTTTGTTTGATTTTAATTTTTTTCACAATGTAAGGTGATGAGAATAGTGTTCTTTCCTCAAAGAGAGTCTTTATTATTGGTTGTTTTTGGGTTGTTTTGGTGGGGGTTTTTTTACATTTCTGATCGCTGTTCAGAACAGGCAAAGTGAAATACGGCTACTAAATGTTCTTACAAATTATGTACAAGACGGAAAAAATTTAGACTTGATAATCTGTTTGTTATGTGCGTGTTTCGCTTTGTGCATGCTAGATAGATTATAATATTATGTTTGAAAATCAACCTGTTAATATTTTAAATATATGTAGGCCTACCAATGTGTATACGATAGATGAGAGAGGGAAGAGAGGAGGGGTTGAAAAGGATAGAGGGGAGGTGGGAGAAAGCACCTAAACAAGCACGTTCACGACACACACACACAAATACAAATGTTCACTCACTCGCCACATGTAGGCCTGTTAATGTTTATTCTTATACGACCAATCAGCGGCCTTCTTCCATACACACATACGTTTGTTAGCAGGCACAGGTGTCTTAACATGTGTGGGGGTCGGACGGATGGCCACATCTGTGTGTGTGTGTGTGTGTGTGTGTGTGTGTGTGTGTGTATGTGTGTGTTTTTGTGTGCTGGGGGGAGCAGGCACAATAAGAGGTTTGGTCGTTGATGGGCGTCAGTAGTCAGTAGTGAGTTACGTGGGTGGTTTGTGGGTGCTCTGGTGTGGTTTGCTCCTTCTTTCCTATCAAACATCTATCGTCCTGATCTTTCCTCCTTGTTTTTTATGTTTGTTACTCTCATGTAACACCTCTAATCTTCTGGCACTTATATGACCTTATTGTATTGCGAGTGCCATAAAACTCTCACTAAAACTGAAAGTAGAGTTACAAACGCATCACAATCACTGTACTCACAGTAATTTTTCTCCCTGGCTACTGATCAATATTACAATGATAAATAAGCTAATCTTGACATGGTCTACGTAATTAATTGCGCGCTGGTCTAGTCTGTAGAATCAAACGTAGCCATATGCTAGGCGAATACTTAGCAACACAAATTGTTTGGCAAATAGTACATTATAGATGATAGATATGACACAGGCGTGCATTTAAACTGATCGGACAAAGCGTGTGTTTGGTAGCGTTCTGTGCATTTTAATTCCTAGAATTTTTGGGCATCTCATAGGTATGGTAATGGCATCAAAGAAACAGAAATGGATCTCATTTGAAACCAAACTACAATGTACTTTTGATTGAAGAAGTCTAATACATTGCACATTACTTATTCAGTGCCTGTAATTTAATCAACTCCAAAACCTCATGTTCAATTTAACGAACACTCAGATTCAACGAAATTGAAGGTCAGGCCCGACGATTTCGTTGAATCCGAGTTCCACTGTAAAAATAGATAACCAATGACCTTTGTTTTTCATCGCGTAAAAAAAGCAAAAACACATTTTCCGACCAGGTTATCAATTAATGTTCCCGACTTTAGGAGAAAGAACTGCATTTAGCTCTCTGCTATACAGATGCGAGAATTCGTCGAAACACATTAAACTTGCCCCTCCACTTCAACACCAGCTCTCACTTCAGGGGAGTTTTCAAATGTTTAGTAGCATATTGTTTATCACAATTCTTTCAACTGAACTTATAAATAAAATACATGTTATTTAATTTACTGTGTTGATTAAATTATTATGAAACTTAAGATACTAAAGCCCCCCAAAAATGACGATGCTTCGAAAGTGTTGGGGGAAACATTTTTTACTGCTAAACTATTTGACCTGCTAGATCGACACATTGGTTCCACTGGACGGACGCTATTGTTGTTTTGTTTTTCTGCCTGACTACTGTGATGCTAATTATGCTAACTAAAATATTAAGAGAACACCCTCATGAAAAACCACCAGTATCATAACCGTACTTCAGTATAACATGGTGTACAGCAACCAGCTTTGTCTGTGCCTACAATAAGGAGTAAGCTAGAAATCAGTTTGAATTTGTTGTGACTGATGACTGAATCTGAGGGCGGGTTGTTTTTGCCCTGTGTCAACTGAAAAAAGGAGAGCGGAGAGGTAAGACAAGAATAAGTCGGTGGCTTGAATAGACTTGATTTTGAAGTTTAGTTTGGGCAGTCTGGTACACTGGTAGGCCTGCAGTAGGCCTATTATTTTCTATAATTCTGGTGGAACCGAGTGAAACAACACTCGGCCAACCTGAAAAATTTCCAGAGTCCTGAGACTACTGAGGCTCAGTGAGGCCACTGAGGGTGGCGTAGTCTAGATCTAATCTAGATCTAGTCTAGATCTAGATATAGATTCTAGATCTAGATCGGATCTTGTGGCGAAGCATTTAAAAAAAAAATAGAATCTAGATTCTAGATATCTAGATCTAGATCTAGATTTCGAAGAGTGAGAATATGATAATGACATGGACCAGGCAGATTTTCATGTGGGAAGTGGCTATTCGGACTCGAGTCTGAATAGCCTTCCGTGGCTATTCGGACTCAAACTCCAATGAGTGGATGTAATACAGGGTGCTCATTTTAGGGTCTGGTCGGGGCGGTTTGCTGGCCAGATTGAGGCTGCAAAGCCGATCGCGCCCGACTAGTCGACTCAAAAACAAACCCGTTTGTTTTCAGGCGACGAGTGGGGCGATCGCCCCCGACTTGACCCCCGATCCCATCCCCAATGGGAACCCCGTATAACACTATCAGAATATAAATGTATTGTTTTCCTGATTTTCTTTGAACATCACGTAAAGCATACATGATACACTGTTGGAAAAGATTTTTCCTTTAAAATAGACCATTGTGACTTTGGATGACTTACTTTTGTTCCCCTTGGAATGGTCTTTACTTTTCTCTTCTTAATTTCTAACTGGACTTAAAATTGATCAATGATTTTGTCCGTCTTGTCTTGTTAAATAAAGCGGGTTTAGTAGACTACCTATTGATAGAGTTATCTTGTTGTTCTGACCGACACTTTGATTTTCAATTTTTTTCACTGCTTTGACTTTGAGCTCAGATTGCCGTTTCCCTGTTTGTCTTTTTTGTGTAGTTTTTCAGATTTTGCTACTGTAGTTCTCTTTTAAAATTTAAAGTCACTATAATAATATACTTTTCATAATTTGTGTCGAAAATTTTGGCCAAATCGTAGAAACCGAGGAAGGCTAAGGTCGAATTGCCTCCTGTCCGCTTGACACCTTTTGTTACGCTCGCGCATTGGAGTTTTTAGTCCGAATAGCCACAGGAGGCTATCCGCGGCCTTTCATGTGAATGTAAAATAATACCAGTAAATAATAGAGAATAGGATTCAACGCAAATCTGTGTTTGCCACAAAAAGTGCAACAGCATTTTTGTATGAGACAAACACATTTTAATGTGTCATAACATGGTAGAATCAGGCTCTCGTCAAATTTTTGGGGTACATATGGAATTATTGTGGTATTATATTGAAGCTTATTCTTTTATCTTGATTTTGATGAAAAAACACTCGTGCTATGTTGAATAAAATTCGAGATGCTTACGATTGAAGAAGGTGGGGATGGCCTAGTCATCATCATCATTGCCTTTCTCACCCTGCATCAGGGTATAGGCCACGGACAAACACCCCCCACTTTTCTCTATCCTGGGCTAGCCTCTTGATGTTATTCCATGTCTTCCCACGTTTCTGTACATTGATTTCTGTGATTCTTCTCCAAGTTCCACGAAGTCTTCCCCTTGATCTCTTGCCCTGTGGGTTCCAATCCAAAACTTTCTTTGTATGTTAGAAGTAAAATTACGTAAAATGACCTCCAAATTTTGGTGACTTCCAAAGCTTGTAAAGTTCCTCAAATTCTAATTTTCTTGGATATGATTTTCAGTAAAATCCATGTTTATGTGTTTTTCAATGGACGTAAAAGGTGTTGAGCCAAAAGGGAAGAACAATTTGGAGAAAATTGCCCAACAAGCGGAAAAAACAGGTTTAAATCACTTAAAACTGTAGGATTTTACTACAGTGGAATCCTGTAACGAGAGGGAGGGGACCGGTGCAAAATGTCCGTTATAGCAGGATTCTCGTTATAAGGGATCCAGTAATAAATTCAAGGGAAAATGTAAAATTGGCCTAATCTATGAGTTTGGTGTTCTGTTTATTCCTTTTTGTATTTCCCCTGATGATTATTTTGTTCAACATGATCTCTAGGTCCTACTTGATAAAAAAAATCGAATCAGGTTTCTTTCTCTGGCACTAGCAATGTTGACAGCTCGGCGTTTGCGATCAGAAAGAAGGGGCTCTGGCTGTAGGCTAACTCGCCCGCTGTGTTGTCCTCCACCCCACCACACCCTGTGGTACGGTGCGTCTGCTTGCACACGACACACATTCACTCCATCTAGGCTATCACAGCATTGTAACTCCTCCATCCCGTGCCAGAGAAGTGAGAGGAACGGTATGCCTAGATAATCTAGACTGGGCTGGCCTTTCACGCGATGCCTTGTGCCTGTCTGCGCATGCCACAACCTCCCCACTCATTCGCTCCGGCCTTCATTGTTGGTTTGCGTGGGCTCTTCCATTCTTTGTTTCGCTTGATCACCAACAACTTTCACAACTGGAGAGGTTTTATATGTTTAATTGATCAGTGCGCTGTGCACAGCAGCAGCAATATTCCGCTATAACCGACTCACGTGTTTCTGATTGCGCAGTAGCAGTATTTTATCTAGAAAGATAAAGAAGGGGAAAAAATAGGGTTTTAGAATAGTGTCTTTATAACAGACTTCGTTATTTCAGGACTCGTTATTTCAGGACTCGTTATAAGTGGACTCCACTGTATGCAAGCACCGAAGACTCAAGATCAAAGGTTTCCAAAATTATATAAAATCTTAACTATTCAACCGACTGCGATGCCCTTTTGACACAATCAGGAACAACACAAGAACAATTAGCATACCAAAGTCCAAGTGCCTATCTGTACTAGATTATTTGTCCTGATTTTTTTTTTTAAGTTTCAACAAAATGTTCAACAAATTTACGCAAGAAAATGAGGCGCCGTATATACAATCACTGCAATTTACAACACAGCAATCTTAGTAGTCACTTAACTAAAAATGCTGTGGATCGAAAAGTTATCTACCGACTTTCATGTGGAACGAAACGAAAGGCTACGCACGTCTTTTAGCAGCATTTTTATAGATGCTATTAGCATTAATGACGATTGTGCGTTTTCCACGCGAACCCTCTCACAGAACTGGCGGCCATCCCATGTTTTTAACGGAAAATGACTTCAGTGAGTTCAACTCTGTTTGGGAACCCAACGTTGTGTACATGGGAAGTGCACTTTACACTTTTCCTCACTTCACCCAGACTGTCAACGGTCAAAGATCCTGTAATTTTGTTCGTGTTTGAGCACTTGGCGCTGTGCACAGTATGTTTCCTGGGAAGCCGAGAACGTTTTTGAGTGTTCTAGGGTCTGCTTGGTTTTAAATAAAAGTTGTAAAATACACGGAGCATGCTCTAGAGTAGAGTGTGAATGTTTGCTATTTAATTTATAAAAATGCATTTATTATAACCAGCCTTTTGCCTGTTTCACAGAGTCAGTTTCTTCGTACCCTCAAATAAAAAGAGCACCATGTCTGGAAGCCATATCATATTCTCATATGGAACACTGAAGCAGGGGGAGCGAAATGAATATGTGATGAAAGACCCAAACAACGGGACAGCCACATTTGTTGGAAGAGGCTGCACAGCAAAGAAATACCCACTGGTTGTTGCATCGCAGTACGGCATTCCGTTCTTGCTCCTTCTTGAGGGACAGGGGTCGGTGAGTGCATGTTTTCCTTGTAACTTACTTGAGAAAACTTCATTGGAGAGCTGGGATGAAGGTGGGGTCAACGGGTGTGTGTGGATACAATGTGTGTGTGTGTGTGTGTGTGGGGGGGGGGGGGGGGGGGAAGTTGTTTGTTTTGTTTTTTAAGCAAAAAAGTTATGTTGCCCGAGTGTATGAATTTCTACTCACCCTGGCATTGTCAGTGAAAGCTTAGGTGACTTCTCAAAGAAAAGTGAATGGAAATTATCATGAGTCAGTAGTGTATGAATTTTTACTGCTCAAAATATACTTGACACTTCTAGACACTTCTCTTAAATCTGTCTAAAAACAGAAATGACTTGAGCTAACTATAGAATGATGAAAAAGACAATTGTGAGCTGTGCAAAGCACTTTGTTGTTTCACCTTTTGAACTCACGATAGGTCGATAAACCAAATCACATGGGTGGTTTGTGGGTGCTCTGGTGTGGTTTGCTCCTTCTTTCCTATCAAACATCTATCATCTTTATATCGTCTTCACCTTTTTTGTATTTGTTACTCTCTTGTAACTCCCAATCTTCGGCACTTATATATGACCTTATTGTGTTGCAAGTGTACTGAAATTAGAACCGAGGGTATATTTCTCGGCTTCCTTTAAAGCTGTTGTGTCAGGGTTAACCATGTTTTTGTAGTCTAGGGATGGCGCATATATATATATGGAGTCGTCGAAATCGTGCAGGAACACGACAAAATGAGTCTGATATCACATTTTGACAATATAACACTGTAGGTATCAAATTACAAATCTGTTCAAGTCTTACAAATGGGTGAAAATTGTATCAGTCTAGCTGATTTGGTTCCAAAATTATAGTCACTTGAAGTTGGGGAGTCAGAAACACACTGTTGTGAAAAATTCGAGATTTTACCCAATATTTCAAAACAACTGAGTGCTACAGCAGGCATCTCAATCTGTTGCGTTGATAGTTACCCTGTCTCCTTATTTAAAATTCTTCAACATACTTCATGTGTATTTTTTTTTTTCAGCAAGTGCTGGGAGAAGTTTACGAGGTTGATGACTCAATGCTGGCATTTCTGGATGCATTTGAGAGTCACCCTGACTTTTATCGTCGTGAGGTGGCGACAGTTCTGATGACCCAGGACAAGAACGGGGAGAAGTTAGACCCCCCACAGACCAAGGAGTGCTGGATTTACTTCTTGCCCAAATATAAACCGGAGATGTTGGAGTTGCAGTTCCTGGAGAACTATACCTCGGAATCAAAGGATCACGTGCCTTACGATGAAAGGTATAAACGAAAAGAGGAAGCTCGTGTCACGGCTTTACCGGACTGACGACTAGTGACATGTTTTGCAGAGTGATAGATTGTAATGAATGAATTCATTGTTCTTAGGCTGTTTCATATGTTAATTCTACTGTCTTTAGGCTTTTCAGTAAGTTTAAATGTTTTAATTGTACTTGTACCTAGTCAGAAATTCTAATTTATGGTTGGTTTACAATATGTATGGCATAATAGATCATATTCTGGTTAAGATCCAGAAAATTCTCATACAAACAAGGGAAGTTTGCTTTCAATTAAGGGTCTACTTCGATTCGAAAGGAAATGGCAGATGAGTTGTCTCAAATATTATTTCATGATATCAAAATAATGTTGATAGTATTCATTAAAAAATAAGGGCAGGTCGTATTCAGTAGTGTATTTTTATTTTTCATAAATATCAAGAAGTCTGATTGTTTTTTGTATTGATATGAACTAGAAGGTTTCAAAGATGAGATAAGACCTAGGCAACTACTATTGAGTCAATGTGCTTCTCTTTAATCCAACAAACAAACAAAGACCTAGACTCCCACGTCGGTGTTGTATTGCGGTAGAGAAAAATGAGAGCAGTTTTGGTATATTAATTTTTTTTCAATATCCTTTTAACATTTCAGGACTTTATTTTGTGTTTTATTAGTGCCCTTTTTAACTCTTTTTATCTCCGGCAGACCGCTCCCAGCGGCTCACAGTCGGTGCCGGTGAGCCACTGACAGCGGTGCGGGCACATTCCTTTACGACGACTTCAAAATCAAATTACTTTTCAGCAATTGCCGAAAACAGGTCTCTTTTTCCAGAAGTTCATTCATTAGATGAAGAACTATCTAAATAGGTTTGCTACTTTCGATTTGATGACCCATTTAATGATGTTTTTGTCATTTTTAGATTTAGCACCAAAAAAAGGCCCCGGCGTAGTGGGTTTACCCCCCTCGGAGAAGAGTTAATTTTCACTAAGCTGTGAGTTGAAGGGATTTAATTTAAACATCTTCACATTAAACCTTTATTGTCACTGCAGACAATCAGTTGACTGTGCCATATTTTCAGTGAGAACATACAGATGCTGGTTTTACAGATAAATCTGAAGTTTGTAACAGTATTATACTCTTGCTTTTAATTGTATTTTAATATCTTTTACGCTTGCCATATTAGTAGACTTTGGGGGGTTTTTTAAGTTGTAAAACAAGATACATTAGACAACATGATCCATAAATTCTGAGTCCCCACGCACCCTTTTCCACGGGGCCCGAAGAGTTCAGGATTTTTTTTTCGTAGCCAGATGGCACCTCTGTTAGAGTCTGTGTCAGGTGACCATATGATGCTAGAAGCCCTCTAGGTCTAATACCACTGTCAGAGTCACTTTCCTCTGCTCTTAAGCATCATCATATACTAATACTGTGCTGTATGTTTAGTGCTCTCAGGTTACTCTTTAATATAATCTAAGATCATTTACTATGAATCTCACTTTCACCAAACGTGGACTCATGGAAAGGAGAAGGAATCTCATTATGTTTTTTTTTTAATGGTTTAATTATGACTGCAAAATAACTTTGTGTTCACTTAAGACTTATACGAGGGACCTCTGAATATAGCTGTTGTGAAAGCATCCCTAACAAACCTCAACTACGTGGGTGGTTGGCGAGTGCTCTGGTGTGGTTTGCTTCTTCTTTCCTATCAAAGATCTATGGTCCTTATTTCCCCTCCTTCTTTTTTATGTTTGTTACTCTCTTGTAACACCTCTAATCTTCTGGCGCTCATATGACCGTATGCAGTTGCATAACCTCTACTAGAAGTAAAGAAAAACCTCAACTACTCCGGTCTAAACAGACAAAAATTGGAAGACACATGACTTGTTTCGTGGCTATCCATGGGCGGTAGGACAGGTCCCACTTCTGTTCTTTCCCTCGGTTGTTTCTGTCTTTGTGGGTGGTTGGAGTTGGAGGGTGTCAGTGGTAGTAGTGGTAGGTCCTATTCCTTTTCTTTCCCTCTTTTGTGCTGTCTATCCGTCTTACCTTTGCCCTTCACTTAAAAACCATTATTGTGTCAATGTACTTCTCTTTACTCAAACAAACACACATCATGGCAATCATCTTGTTGCTACTGTTCGGCATTATAATGTAATGTCAAACTTTCTTAAAAGGTATAAATCTAGTATTATCAAGTAGAAGTTGATGAGGTGCATCTACAGGTCTTAGTCTTATTCCTCTTTTTATAATAATAACGGATATATATAGACCAATTAAACAGTTTGTCTTGACACACATACTGCACTGCCCAGATTTAGATGTGTATAGTTTTTGCTTCCCCTGAAAACCTTGTATTTTTGACACACGACAATAATGAATGACAATGACAATGTGTACTACTGTGCCATGACCTAGCTATTACTACGACATCTACATATATATATATATAATATATATTTATTATTATGTATAACCAATTTCAATCACTGTGGTCAACGGTTGGCTGGTGCTCTGCTGTGGTTTGCTCATTCTGTCCTATTCACGATCGAACATCTATTGTTCTTATGTCATCTCCTTTTTCTCTATTTGTTACTCTCTGGTAGTAACACCTCTCATCTTCTGTACTGAAATTAGCTATTTGTGCATTTGTGTTGCAAGCGCTGTATAACTGTTACAACAACCAAATGATCGTTGTGCCGCGTAGCATGTACTAGATTCTGTTCCTGTAAATCCCGGTGTCTGTCTTTCGCTGAATAAAAGATCTCAATCTTTTGTATTGTCTGATCATACATGAATTCAGTCTTGTTGACAGTCATAATTAAGCACATAATGTTGCGGGTGTTTGGAGGGTGCCACTGGTAGGTCCTACTTTTTCACTTTCCTTCTGTTGTTGCTGTCTGTCTGTCTTACTTTTTCCACCGCTAAATGACCATCATTGTGTCGATGTGCTTCTCTTTACTCAGTCAAAAGTACCCAATGTCAATACATCAAACGTGACACTGCAGGCATCTGTGCTCTAGAAGTTGCATGCAAAAGACCTGAGTTCGATTCCCGTGTGGGCAAAGTTTCCTTTCTTTTTTTTCTTAGATTTCTTTGTTGTAGGCCTACATGTTTCTCAAACAAAGCCTTCCCATTCTTAAAAGGTACAATTCCACTTTTGTTCTGTGCATCCATACACCAACCAATGATGTATTAAAATTGTGAATGTTATTTATTGGATGGTTTTAGTGTTAGTATAACCAGTTTGCAATCTTCTTCAAGAGCCATATATCTGAAACAGACATCAGCAATCATGGTTCTTCACTGATTTCTCTGCCCAGATGCTCTAAAAAAAGCTCAGATACGTGTAGCACACACATATAAGGAAAGAAAATCGGCAGAATGCAGAAATCTTTTCGTTATGTACAAATTTTGATTGTTACCTGTGTGTATCAAATACATGTTCAGTCAAACTCAGATATAGATCTAACAGGACTGACGGGACCAGCAGTTTTTCCGTGTTATAAGCGAGACATGTTATAACAATTATCAAGGGAAACTACCAGTACCATATTATTGCACATAAGTATTCGATTAGCGCTGATCCTTTCCCAGTGGGTTGTTTTGCTAACACTGAGAAGGAATCGATCATGAGGGGTTGGGTTATGGCTTTGAAAGTTTGTGTTTAGGCAAGCGACCATACAAACAGGCGAAAAATCTTGGCTGAGACAGATTTTGATACATGTAATTTGACGGATCGAAAACAAGTTCATGCTCTGCAAGATCACTGTTATTTCCGAGTCTGTGCTGATTGGACCCTGTTATAGCCTGGTTCATATTACTTACACTTGTAGAGAAAAAAAAAGGGGGATTTGATTTATCTCTGTTATATCGAAGATCAGAGGCTGTTATAAATGGACTGGACTATACTGAGAATGTATACCTTTAAGTAGAGAAAAAATATAAGACCTGAAAATCTGTTCAACTATATGCATGATATTTTTGCTAGTGCTGTATTATCCTGTCTTCTTTTTCCCTTCATGATAGACCTTTCTTGTCTTCCTTTTATAATTAAATATAGGTTGAATGTACACACGCATACATGTTAATGTATTAGGAATCTCACTACAGTTTGTTACAGTCAGGGTGCCCCATTAGCACAGTTGGTATCTTACTCTACTACTGAGTGGATGATTTGAATCCCAGAGGGGGCATTCTTGAACATACTACATACTCAAGTGGTTTTGTGGAGTTTTCAAGGCTGTCAATCCTTTTGGTTCGTTCCTATCGGAGATGGACGTTAAATTTGGAGGTCCCACCTCTTAAACTTAAATAACCTAATCGTATTGATAGTGATAAGTGTGATAAATCCAAGCACTTCTTGTTACAGTACAGCCATAGTCCTGTTGTTGAGACAAAAGGCTTAAACATTTTTTTTCCCCTTTATTTTCAGTGAAGACGTGCACTGCTTGGACGATTTATGATAGTTGTGAGGAGCGTTTCTTCTATACATTCAGTGGAGTCTGCTTAAATTGAGCACAGTTAAATAGCGTCTGTAGTGCGCGGTTCGGTGCTTTGTGTGACACGCAGGAGACTCAAGTACAATTCCAGAGTTCCAGAGCGGGGAGAATTTTTAAAGAATTTTTCTAACTTTGTCTTGGGATGTTGTATCCCCACCAGCCCAGGGTCAGAAGCCCGCCTCCGAAATGTTCTAAATTATGTCGATGTGGGCATAAAAACACAGCATTTGAAAAAATGATTTTTTAAAAGAATAATTTATAATTTAAAAAACAGTGGTTGACAGAAAGAAACAAAAATCCATGATTTTTTTTTCTTCTATTCGAGCAACCTTTCTATATATATGTAGCAATAATGCACCTAAATCAAAGAAAATCTGTACCAGGTACGACATGTGGGAATCATACTTCTCAGCCAGAAGGCAGTGCGGGCAAATTTAAACACTTGATGTAATTTTATTAGTTTCTGTTCAACATGAAATTCCTGTTAACAGGAGAGGTTTTCTGGGTGTTTTTTCACCAGCTCTTCGTCACTGTACACAAATTTTAATGTCTGGATAGTAGGTCACACAAAGCCTAGCATGTGATCTTGTCAGTTCTGGTTGTAGCGATTAACAGTTAGAATTTAGAAAGGTGTTGTCTCCCATGTTTTTATATAATATCACTTTCCTCAAACACAAATACAAGTTCTTGGGTCCGGTGAAGTTTGTATTATCAGGGTTTTACAGTACAGTACGTTAACATTATCATGAGTGTTTTAGTAAGTTCTATGACTCTAAGGGGAGACTTTTCTCAGAATTTTTAACTCACAAAGTGAATAATCAAAAGAAAGCTGGCTTCCTGTGTTTGTTTTGTGAAGAAATTACATTCCTGAAAGGAAAGGTTTATCCCCCCTCCCTCCCATAAAAAAAAA